TATTTATTTATTTATTTATTTATTTATTTATTTATTTATTTATTTATTTATTTATTTATTTATTTATTATTTGTGTGTCCCATGTGCATTCAGTGCCAATAGGGGAAGAAGAGGGCATAAGCTCTCTTGGAGCTGGAGTTACAGGCCACCTAACATGGGTGCTGGGAACTGAACTCGGGTCCTCTGAAACAGCAGGACAAGTACAATGCTGTTACCCACCGAGCCATCTCTACAGCCCCATGGTTGCATTACCCTTTCAGACGAAACAAATGGTTAAATTAAACCAGACCCCAAAATTACATCAAGAAAGAAGACATTAGCTGGACACGGTGGTTCGTGTCCGTAATCCCAGCACTCAGGAGGCTGAAACAGGAGTCTGTGAGTCTGAGGCCAGCCAGGGCTACAGAGAGAGAGTTTCAGGCCATCCTGGGGTCTAACCCCCCCCCACACACACACACAGAGGAGGGCTTGTACAGATGTGTTCCAGACGAAGTGAGATTCAGGATTGGTGAAAGGGTCATGTTTCAGGCTGGTCAGAGTTAAGCTAGAAAACTAAAACAACAGAACAGCCTGTGTGGGAGGTGCAGGGTGAGGTGGGGCTGGGCAGAGAAGACTCCCCATGAGCGTCCTTCCTGGGACCTCTCCCTGGGCTCAGGTGCTCGTGCAGCTGAAGTCCACTGTGAAAGGTTGTGAACATTTGGCAAAAACAAACAAACATCTTTCAGAAATTCGGGAATAGAAGAAAAAAGGTAGCCAGTAAAACTCACAGCAGGAGGGGGTAGGGGGAGAGGTGGTTAGTAAGGGCTGGGCACGGAGGGCAGGTGGTACAAACAGGAGAACTTCCATGCTCTTTTTCTAAAGGGTGTTTTTAAAACTGGGCTGAGGGGGGAGTATGGGGCTTCCTGTGGAGGCTGCACCCAAAGGAACCAATCCTTCCTTCATCCAAGTGAAGCTCCTGGGCTTGGGGTGAGACACGGAAGAGAGATCTTACTGGAAATCCCCTCCTTTCTCAGATAACTCTCCATCCCCAATGGGGATGAAGCGGGAGGCAGCATCACTTGTCTCCAGCAGACACTGTGGCCAGAAGGTTGCTCCTGAATCAACAGAGAATCAACGATTGATTTTGTGTGTTTGTTCGTGTTGGGGGCTGAACTTAGAACCTCTGGCCAAGTGTCCACCCCTGAGCCCTGCTCCGGGGCCACGAGTTAATCTATCTTTTAAGGCTGAGAATTTCCTCCCCTGGAAGAATTCGGGCCTGACTCCGTGGCTTGTGGGGAAAGAGTGTTCTCTGGGTAATGCCAAGTGCTGCGGGCTGAAGCGAGAGGAATTAAACAGGAAAGAGGCCGGAGTCTCCCCGCTGTTCCCGAGCAGCCAGCGAGCAGCGCAGCTGGGTCCATGCAGACCTCCGTGCTTCAGCTCTGGCTGCCACAAACGCGGGGTCTCACATAAGGAATCTGAGTTAGGGAGCCCCAGACCTTCTAAACTCACCACAGCCCAGCAGAGGGCAGAGCTACCACACGGCTTGCCGTAGGCCACCGCCAGACCCGATGTGAAATGTGTCAAGTCTCCAGGCTCATGTACCTGGAGACTTGGTCCCGGGTGGTGTTTCGGGAGGTCCCGTGCCCACCTGGGGGAGGGCGGACACAGGGAGTGGTAATGTGAGGTATGCCCTGGCCCAGCTGCTGGCAGGCACTCCGGCTCCTGCCTGCTGCCCGGATGTGGCCTGAGACCTTGTGCTCCTTGTGTCCCCTCGGTTCCTGGAAAGGCGACACCTGGCTCAAAACCAGTAATGATCAACTGCTTAAGATTCACAAATCATACGTTAAGTACGAATATAAGCATCTGTAGGGCTGGAGAGATGGCTCAGTCTGTAAGAGTGTTTGCTGCTCTTTCTGACAGCCAGAGTTCAGTTGCCAGCACTTCCAGGGGCTCATGGCTCTCACAACTGCCTGTAACTCCAGATCCAGGGGAACACACACACACACACACACACACACACA